AGCCGGGCCCTCTTCGTCCCGTCCCTCGGGGGGCCGCTCGGGGGCGTCGATCGCGCGAGGCTCCTCCTCCAACTTGATGATGTGGAACCCGTCCAGTTCATCCGGCTCCTCTTCTCTAGGCCAGGGAACGGATACGCAATTCAGGTCAGCAACACTGTCGGCAATATCCTCAGCATTTGGATGGTTAATCGCGTCGGTAAAGTCGTCAGATGCTAAGAGCCCAGGTGTCTCGCTCTCGGGCTCGGTCTTCACCACGTGGACAGAGTCCAGATCCTCCACCCTCTGTCTGCTCTCTGTGTGCTGCTGCTCACTGAGTCTCTCTTTCCCGTGTGCGGAGGCGAGCTCTGTCTCCTGCATCAGACGGGAGCCCCCCTCCTCCTCCTCCTCCTCGCTGGGCTGCTGTTCAAGAGGAGCCCCGTCCCCAGCGTCAGGGAGAGCGCTGACCTCTGACCCTGCAAGACACAGGACAGGAGGACAAGGCCTTTAACATGGGCTGAGAGTAAAGGTCAAGACCTTCTCCGAGAGAACGTTTCACGTAGCGATAACTGAATAATCATCAACAAATGAAGACCAAAGAAGAATTGGGATTATAATTAAGATCAATTAAACATCTACCCTCCTCCTCCTCCTCACTGTGCTGCTGTTCAAGAGGAGCCCTGTCCCCAGCGTCAGGGAGAGCGCCGACCTCTGACCCTGCAAACACAGGACAGGAGGACAAGGCCTTCAGGTGCGGAAGAGAATATTCCCCAGAAAAAACAAAAACAAATTTGAGACGGCAAAGAAACATATTTTAAAAACCGAGTCTTAATTAGGACGTTGAAGCTCACTTTCAAGCCTGAGATTCACCGGAGTTCAACACCCATGGGTTGTCAAAACACAGAACACATGAAACGGGGATGAAAATAATAAGTAAAATCAGGACACTCCGATGGAAGCAGATTTCATCCATGGCTCTCTGTCCAGGTGGGGTTCTGGACCCGCCAGCAAAAAAGGAAATGTTCAGCCACATACATGAGGCCCTGGGTTCAATCCCTGGCATCTCCGATCAGACTTTGCCAGCAGCTGTATCACCCTGCA